GGACTCCCTGCCCTGCCTCAGGCAGCGGTGCTGTACAAGGTAGCTGGGCCCGGCCCGGCCCGACCCTGTTGGTGGCACGGGCAGCCCCTCGATTGGAGGATGAGCCCTACCACCGGCTCGTGGACGGGTCTTGAGGTGGGTGAAGAGCCCAATCCTCGAGCCACGGATCCATCCGCAGAAGTCGCAGGTCTTTCCGCGAGGAAGCGACTCCTCCTTTTCCTTCCTCTCCTCTTCTCTGCTTTGAGGGCGAGTGGCTGTACCTCGAAACGGGCTGCTGTTTGGTTTAGGTGGTGGCACCGTTGGAGTCACTTGGCAGCCACCTCCTCCCAGCTCTCGATGTTGGCATCTGTTTCCATTTAAACCTCTGTTTCAACCAGTGGTAATCAGTGTGGGATCCTATGATCCCTGCTGACTTGCTGCCCCTGGGGCAGGGGGCTGGACTCAGTGATCTTCTGAGGTCCCTTCCAGCCCAAATGTCTATGAAATCTATTAAATGTTTTGCAGTGGCAGGCTGGATTGGCCCAGCTCAGGTGCAAACAGACCTGCCTGGTGCTGCTGCCACCCTTGCTTCTTCCTGACACTGCCTCTCCCCACTGCCCAGCCACAGCATGGCATGGGAAAGCACCCAGCTGACCAGTTGCAACATGGCACAGGACAGCACCTGGCCACCACCACCAAACATCACCAAAGCCCCAGCTCTGCTAGCTGGATCCAGTGGCTCTGCAGGCCAAATATGGCCTGTGGGTCACAGGCTGCTTAACTAGGGTGGGCATCACAGAGGACATTCCAGTTTCTGCTACTCTGTCCTCTGTTGATACAAAACCCAATGCCTTTATGTCCTCCCCTTCAAGAAAAAAATAGATGACATAAAGTTGTGTCCGGTTTCATATCAATAGAGGACAACCAGACTGTCCTCTATGATGGCCACCCTGTGCTTGACCCCTGGCTGCAATCAAAATCAGGGTGGTGTGAGCACATAAATTGAACATGTCTAATTCCCACCCAGTAGAGGGGCAGTGTTACATAGGTACATTTGCCACTTCATTATCTAATGTCTTTATTTATTAGATTTATATACTGCCAGTCCTAGCACCAGGAAAGGCTCAAGGCAGTTTACAATAAAAGGGAAGATAAATGATAAAAACAGATAAAATATAAACCATAAAATTAAAAAAAAAGGAAAACTTAATATTGGGTGTGTCACTAAATCATTGGATGCAGGGGTGGCAGTGGATATAGTTTTCCTAGACTTCAGGAAGGCTTTTGATACTGTCTCTCACCCCATTCTCATTAGGAAGCTGGGGGACTGTGGCGTAGACACCCATACAGTCCAATGGGT